TCCCTGATTACTTTGATTCCAATGATCTCTCCCTTCACTCCTATACTTTTCTTCTAGCACTTACTTATCCTGCCTTGTTCTTAGTTAACTCTTTAAAAGTGGGGTAGATCCTATTTCGCAAATGAGACTATAAGCTCCCAGAGAGTAGGGATTATGAGCTTTATTTCTCCCATAAATCCTTGTACTGGTGAGGACTCAACATTTGTTGGACGACGCAATAATGTGCTATTTGGGGGATTATTAACACTGCAAGCAGCAGCAGCCCAGAAGGTAGATAGATTGCCAAGTGCTTCTGAGATAGGAAGACCCCTCAGTGGTTTGGACCCCAGGCAAGTCACTTAACCTGATAATGCCACCCACCCAACCCTCCCCAAGACTATGGATTAAAGAGTAAGATCTGCATTGGTGAAGGGAATCATCTGACTAGGAGTTCCATATACCAGTGAAATCACAGGTCCATTAAAGAAAATCATCATCACTATTTTCCCATCGTTTCTCCCTTTGTCAAAAGACATTGCCAATGATAGTGTAGGAAAAGGACCCTTCTCTGTGGTTTTCTTCCCCTTACTGACACACTCTAGCAGAAATTGCCCTTGGCAGTTTCTTTATTTAAGATACACATAAAAGGGTACAGGAGGCTGGAGGATTCTGTTATCTCCCTTGCTCAGATGCCTTCGATGTTTCCCCACAGCCCATGGGGAAGGAGGTAGGTTAGTTCAAACTCCTCTACTTTCAGTCAAAGCCCCCAAAGCTGTCATACCCTTCCTCTTTGTTGATAATAACGCACCTTCAATGGTTCACAAAGTACTTTACACACTTCATCTCATCCCATTCTCAAAGTGAGTAGGCAGGATGAATGTCATCCTGCTTGGCAGGTGAAGAAAGTGAGGGTTAGATAGAGTAAGTGACTTATCTCTGGTCACACAGACAAGGAGTAGCACACCTGAGATTTGAACCTGGATCCTCTGATGCCAAATCTAATCCTTCTTTTACACTATGATATGTCAGAGACATATTTAATCTATTTAAGAAAAAAGATCTTGAGAAGTTTCCATTTACCTAAAAAGAATTGCTACTTCTTTTGGGGAGGGGACAAGCATTTACATAGCACCTACTAAGTGTAAAACACTAAATGATTCACAAAATATCTCATTTGATCTTTACAACAGCCCTGGGAAATGGGTGGTACTGTTACCCTCTTATTACATATGAGGAAACTGAAGCAAACAGAAGTTAAGTGACTTGCCCAGAGTCACACAATTAGTAAGTGTTTGAGGCTAGATTTAAACTCAGGTCTTCCCAACAACAAGGGCAGTGCTCTATCCTCATATGACATGGTCTGAAGACCCTTCTCCATTCTGTTCGTCTCTTCCTAGTTGTACATGTAAGCCTATCTAATGAGCTCTTAGGCTCTCAATATATATTTTGTTTGAGTCTGCAGCATCCAGGCCATCTAGACACCCAGTTGTACACATAGGTCTCCCTACACAGGTTGGGCATTTATACTTCAAATCTATAGAAGGGACTTTCTTTGCAAAGAAAACTCTTTTTCTGAAGTCATTAAAACATGACCTTTCAACTCCTTAGCTCTGTTGGTTCCAGCCCCACATAGGGTGAGGCACAGCTGGAATCAATCTGCTTTTAATCTCCATAAAGTGCTTCCTGTGGAGACCAACCTTGACATATGAGGTGTGAGCAGACCCAGCCAGCCTTAGCCAAATGCCCTGAGTTGTAATCTCTTCCCGTTTACACCAAGTGGGCCAGGGGCTTATTAACTGGTGAAATCTACGGGAAGCTATAAGCAAAGCACCATGTAAATCTCCCTGATTGGGCTGGGCCCACTCATTTTACATGCGGCCAATTCCCAGCCCAAGCAACTGGAGCCACTTCCAGAATGAGCTTTTAATCCTTTCCCTGTGATTAATAAAAACCCTTGGGTCTAATTTCAGGAAAACCAGAATTGGTAAAAATTCACCCTTCTCCTTAAAGGAGGAATATGGACATTGGTCTTATTCATGTTTGTTCTTGAGACACACACACACACACACACACACACACACACACTCCTTTTTTGGTGACAAGGAACAAAGACCTACAATTTTATTGGTGTAGGTAACGCCTGATGAGAGAATTCCCTCTACCAATATGGGTTGGCACCCCCCCCCCCCAATGATGCAGTTAGTGAGTTGCCTAGGGGAGTTGAGAAAGTAAGCTGGCTTGCCAGAGTCATACCACGTCCCATGCCTAAATTCAATTTCTGATACAATCTTTCCTGTTCACTTTTGTATATTGATAAAATCATTTTTGTTGATGATTGCCAAGTTCACAAAAAAAAAAATTAAAGAAAGTAAGTGCCTTAAGGGTAGGGACTATTTGTTTCACTTTTGTCCTCGAATGTCCAGTTCTTGAGCAAAGTAGGTGCTTAATAAATGCCTGTTGGTTGATTGATTCCAGACTCCCAAGGCCAGCTCTCTATTGGTTGCCTGCTTCTTGGAATGTGTCTTCATTTCTGTTTCTCTCTATATATGTACATGTATAACACTCTATAAATTTAGATCTGAGAAGTTTATTGTTGTTTAGTTGTGTCCAGCTTTTCATGACCCTTTTTGGGGGTTTTCTTGGTAGAGGTAGTGGATTGGTTTGACATTTCCTGCTCCAGCTCATTTTACAGATGAGAAACTAAGGCAGACAGAGTTAAGTGACTTGCTCAGGGTCACATAGCTAGTAAATGTCTGAAGCCAGATTTGAACTCAGGTCTTCCTGACTCCAGGCTGGTACTCTCATCCACTGCACCACGTAGCTGCCCTGAGAAGCAGTATAGTATAAAGGCTAGAGTGGTAGACTTAGATTTCCTAAGACCTGGGTTCAAATCCCACCCCTAACAATTACTAGCTGTGTGACCCTAGACAAATGATTTAGCTTTCTCTGTGCTTCAGTTTCCTCATTTATAAAATAGAGTGGGAGAGGGGTTTGCATTCAATGGCCTCTAAGGTCCCTTGATATTCTGAATCTAGGAGCCTATGACTCTAGGCAACAAGGCTTAGATTCTGAAGCTTTTCCAGCTTTGGGGAGTTGGGGGATGGGTGTTGCAGGGTTCTGCTATCATCTCCAAGCCCTCCTGTCACCACCACACCTTGATGAATCAATGAAAGAAGATTTGCCTGGAAAGCTGCAGTGTGGATACCAACCTCGGGTGGGATTTACTTCTTGATGTAGCTATCCTGTCCCTAATGCTTTAGGTGACATGTCCTTGCAGGTTACATCCTTATTTGAGCCTAAATGTTCTCATCTTTAAAGAAGGCAAATAGATTTCTAAGGTCCTTCCTCTGGTTCTACCAAAAGAATGTAGTTACTAGGCAATCCTTCATAGCACAGATACCAAGCTGGGCACTTGTGGGGGGGGTGGTGGTGGTGGTGGAGATTAGCTAGAGTTAAGGCCCCTGTGTTCAGTGAAAGTGAAATCTGCCTTATTTGGACATTTTGGAGTGGAGCAGTCTAAATTGGAGACAAGTCTGTAGTTGTAGAACATGTTAATAGAAATGTAATTTTAGGGTTGTCAAGTATATACTGGAAGTTAAATTAACCTATAACAAAGTTTGCCAAAATAGAGGTCCCTGGGGACCTGTTTTAATGAATAGATAAGAACGACTTGGTTCTCCCTTTTTTTTCTAAGGTGGAGGAATAGGGATGTGGAACATCACATATACTGTCGTATTCACTCGCTGTGTTGGTTAATTTTGCTCACTAGCTGATTCTCTTTCTCTTTTTATTCTTTGTTACAAAGGATGGCTTGTTGGGTAAGGAGAAGGGAAAGAGATATAGTCAGAAATGAACACGATATAGAAAATAGAGGTCAATAAAAATTAAAATATAAGAATGGCTTGTAATGATCACATCTCCATCAACTGATAAATATTTATAAAATACCTACAAAGTGCATCCATTATGGGAAACCATGTGCTTACAATTGCTTATTTTCTTTAGTAGGTTAATCATTCTGCTCATACAATCCTCTTTAGGTTTTCATTTGCCAACCAAAACCTTTCCTCCTAGATCAGAGGTGAACTGTAGCAGAGCCTATTTCTAAATCACCGCACGTTTCAAATGAGTCAGGTCTACTTTCATGAAATTTGGCCTCTTGGCAACCAGTATTGCAATTCAAAAAGCGACCCCAGCATGAAATGAAGAACAATGGATCTATAGTCAGGAGATGTGGGTTCAATTACCAGCACTCATAGCTATTAGCTGTTCGAACAAATCCCTTAGCCCCTATGGTCCTCAGTTTCTTCACCTGTAAAATGGGAATGTTCCTATTCATACTCTTTTATTTTACAAGGTGGTGAGGAAGGCAACCTGTGAACCTTAAAAATAACTCACGTTATCTTAGTGTCTTATGTCTCTTGCCCTAACTTTAAGACAAGCAAATAACTAAAAACAAAACTTAATTATATACATCCAACAGATTCAACATAGGACTTCAGTTCAATTAATGATTCCTAGTAAAGCTGACTAAAATGTGAGTCCTGTTTTTATGACAGGGAGGGAGGAAGACTAGAGGAAGCTGGAGAAAGGAGTTGATAAGATGTCCCCTTATCCCTTGACTTTAGCTATTTGTTTTCTTACTCCAACATAATTGAATCTCTCAGAGTGTTTATTTTCTTTGTCTGTGTCACCCGGACAACTGGCTGATAAACCAGAGACCTTTTGGGCCATTGGTTTTAATGGACATAGTGGGTTCAGGTAAGTGTCAAGATGAGGCAGGCAGAGGAACCAGCCAGATGAGAACAGATTGTCAGGGCAGGGGTCCTAATGAAAGGTGGATAGGAAAACAGTTCTAGGAAGTTCATTCAAAGAGAATGAGGTCAAAGAGCTGCTGTCTCCCCTCCCCACCGCCCACATTCCTCATATTCATCTGTGCTTCAGAAACTTTGCTCCTGCAATTACTTCCCTCTGCCTGAAATGCCCTTCCTCTCCTCTCCATTGATTCAAATCCTACTCACCTTCAAGGTCTAGACACTTTCCAGGGAGCCTTCCCCAACGACTCCGGCAGACACTGATCTCTTGCTCCTCTGAACACTTAAAAGGCTTCTCGTCTGTACCAGGCAATCTGATGCTTATCACAGATCATTTTGTTCTGTTCTCTGTTTCGTGTGACTTAATTTGGTCTCCCCAACTTGGCAAAGGGACTCCTCGAGAGCAAGGATTGTGGCTTTATCTTCTCTTATGTCCTCCCCAACAACTAAGATAGGCGTGGGCACACAGTGCATACCCATTGGAATTCCCAGAAGCAATATTCACAGTAGCCAGAGCAGGCACCTCTGCTGAGGAAGAAAGAGAGGGAAGGAATAAGCATTTATATAGTGCTTACTATGTTACAGGCATTGTGCTAAGTAATTTTTACACATTTTATCTTATTTGATCCCCCCCAAAATCCTGGGAGGTAGGTGCTATTATTATACCCATTTTTACAGTTGAAGAAACTGAGGCAAACAGTTGGTAAGTGACTTGCCCAGAGTTACATAGCTAGTGTCTGAGTCTGGATTTGAGCACAAGACTTCCAGACTCCAGGCCAGTACTCTATCCACTGTACTACCAGCTGCCTGGAAGGGGTAGGGAACACAATAAGAGCATAAAATGGGCAAAGGTTGTACTCTACTACATCTTATACATTTCTTTAGATTATCTTTTTTTCCCATTGTAGTTTCGTGTTCCTAGTAGGCCAACGGAATCAAGATGAAGTCTAAGCAAGATGGGTAGCCAGTTAAGACACACTGGCTAGAGGGGGGCAATGAGAAACAGCTCTGAAAAAAATGATCTTTCATAAATGCACATATTTTAATTCCATGAAGTTCTGTTCTCCACAGGCCATAGATATTCTCTTTGTGATAAGTCCATCCTTGTGTGTTACAATGAAAGTTCCTGAGCCTCCTGGAGATAGTAACACAGGGACATGATTTTCAAATCTTCCCTAAAATGCACATGTGTTTTTTTTTTTCTCCAGTTCTGGTCACCAGTGCACTCACCCCATTCTTTGATGACTAGTCTTTAGTTCCCAATTTGAATCTACTTCCTTCTCTCCTTTTTGACCCCTTTCCCCATGGGAGCTGATTCATCATAAAATAAATATCCTGCTCCGGACCTTTCCTTCCTTCCTTCATCCCTCCCTCTCACGACCAAATCTCACTCATCCTTAGAAAAGAATTGGAAACAAAATAGATTCCTATCAGTTGGAGGATGTGCAAAACATCCAACACAAATTGTGGTGTGCAAATGTGAAGGAATATCACTAGGCCATAAGGAATGAGAAATTATGAAGAGATTAGAAACTCATGCAAAGACTTAAATGAACTGATACAGAGTGAAGAAAGCAGAACCAGAAAGTAACATGCATTATTACTACAACCATGGAATGGTTGTATGATGAATAGAAAGAACAACAATAACAAAAGCAACAAAACCAAATTGAATGTTGTGTAAATATAATAACCAAGCTTGGTCCCCAAGAAGCGATGTACCTCCCTCCCTTTTTTGGAGAGGTGGGGGACTATGGGTGTAGAATACCAAATACAGTGTCAGACTTGGCTAATTCTTCTTGTTTGTTTTGTTGAACTTTTTTCCCCTCTTTTAAAATTCTTTATTAAAAAAGATAATGGACTGGGTTAGGGAGGGCAGGTTTATTCAGAAATTAAGGGGATGTAAAAACAAAAGATGTCAATAAATATTTTTGTCGCTCTGCTAGGTAATAGGCAACTAGTCTAATAAATAAATTCCTGCTGCTATAATAATGGTGATTAATGGATTACCCCTACCAGGTAATCCATTTTAACAGGGCCCTTCTGGAGACAATAAATTACACAATTTAGAGGTTGAAGGGACCTTAAATATCACCTAGTTCTATGCTTACTTTTTAAAGGCCTCAACCTATCTTTTTGACCTCCCATTTAAATTGCATTTATTTTAATATTTTTATTTAAAACTTGAAAAACAATAAAAGTAAATATGCAAATAAGGAAAAATAAAAATGATTTATGTAAAACCACAAATTCCAAATTAGTTACAATTTCTTTTAGAAGGTATGTTATTAACTTTGACAAATTAATAACAAAAACATCTTGTTTGATTCTGTGTCCCTCCTGATCTTTTTCTTTCGTGTATTTTTTCCTGGTTTTTGTTGGTGGGTTTTGTTTTGGTTTATGGTTTGTTTGTTTGTTTGTTTGTTTTTCAGGGCGTCAGAAGAAAACAAGGAAGACTTCCAAAACACTGGATGGACCCTAGTGGAGAACTTCTGAAAGAACCTAGACAAGTCGTAAAAGATGAGCAGGCATGCATGGGTTCCAATCCATATTATTAGAAGGAATTCATGAGGCAACAGATGTAGTTAAGTGTTTTTTCATAGTCATGTCCCTCTAGAGGCAAGTAGGGGGTACAGTGGATAGAGAGCTAGGCCTGGAGTCAGAAGGGCTTGAGCCTCAGAAACTTATTAGCTATGTGACCCTAGGCAAAGACACCTGAACTCTGTCTGCCTCTGTTTCCTCAACTGTAAAATGGTGATAATTATGGCACCTACTTCCCAGGGTTGTTGTGAGGATCAAATGAGATAATATGTGCAAAGTGCTTGGAGCAGTGCCTGGTACACAGTAGACAATCAATAAATGTTTGCTTCCTTCCTATGCAAATTATCTTAATATTGCTTTCTTTACTCTGAATCATTCACATAAATCTTCCTGCATTTCTTTGTATTCTTCATATTTGCCATTTTTGTGATGCAGTACTATTCCACTGTATGCCATAATCGGTTAAGCTGCTCCCCAATCATTGGACATATTGGCTGTTTCCAGTTTTGGTTATTGTTTTTATTACAAATAAAGCTGCTGTGAACCTTTTTTTGTCCCCTCCCCCATTTTTTTCTCTTTAGATCCCATCTTTAGGATATAGTCCTTGTTGTTAGATTTCCATGTCAAGCGGCATGAATGGCTATATAACAATATACATTGATGGAATTTTTTTCAAAATAATCAAACTGTCACAACTCTACCAGCAGTGAAATAGTTTCTCCTTAGCTCTTCTAATATGGAATTTTACTATTTTTACCTGTCTTTAAAGTTTAATGTTTTAATGCAACCCCCTTTGCTAATGAAAAAATAATAGGGAAACTGAGTCAAAAGACAGAAAATGACTTGTCCAAGATCACACACAAAATAAGTAGCTGGAATTCAAACCTGAGGTCTTCTGATTTCAGACTCACTATGATTTTCATGACCTTAATTTGCCACACTTTAATCCAAACCCGCCCCAGTATTGCCATAATGTCTTGTATCCTAATTCACCCTGTCCCCACCTCACTCCCCAACCTCAGACAAACTTCCAATCAGAAACCAGAAGCTGAAAAGCCCAAGATTCAGACCTATTATACAAGATTTCATCTGATATTATAACCTTTTCATCATGACCTGTCCAAAACAAAACTTACTCTATTTTCCAAAAAAGCCATACTTCTTACAAATTTCCTCAATGAGGGGACTTCTATCCTTCCAGTGACCAAGGTTCTCAACCTTAGAGTTATTCTTGACTCTTCTGTCTCCCTCAGAACCCATAGCCAGTTACCAAATCTTATCAATTCTGCTTTCATAATATTTCTTGCATCTGTTCCATCTTCACCACTCACATAGCTTCTGCCCTAGTACAAGCCCATAACCTCTTGCCTAGATGATTGCAATCATTTCCTAATTGTTCTCTCTCCTCCCCATCAAATCTACCCTCTACATAGTTGTCAAATGGATATTCCTAAAAAATAGATTTGACCATATTGTTCCCTACCCCCCTCAAAAATATTCAATGGCTCCCTACTCTTTTTAGGACAAAATACAAAATCCTCAGTCTGATGTTTAAAGCCTTCCTATATCTGGTTCCCACAGACCTTTACAATCTTATTTTATATTAATTCTCTTCCCTCACTTGCCATTTGCTAGAAAGCAAGCACCACGTCAGGTCCAGCTCAGCTGCCACCCTCTTCTCTGATTCTTCTGCTTAGAGGTTACATGTCCCTCCTCAAACCTCTCATGCTTCTATTGGACTTTTTTTTTTTTTTGTAATTAATCCCATACCAACAAACAATGTGGAGAAGTAGAATCAACACTGTGCTTGGAGCTCTGCCAGCTGTTCCCATATATGACATTCCATAGCCAACCTCTGCACAGGTGGTCTCCTGCAACTGGAATGCACTTCCTTCTCACCCCATAGATTCTCTAGCTTCCTTCAATGCCAACTCCTATTGAGGAGATCGCTCATGTAGCTTTCTTGAAATTTCATAGTGTCATTTTCTATAAAATATACTTTCTGCTTGTTTTCTTATATACACATATCACATCCCCTTAGTAGAATGAAAATTCATTAAGGACAGGAACTGGTTTTTTTTGTCTATGTAACTCCAGTGCCAGGTACACTGTCTTCCTTCCATGTAATAGGTACTTAATTCTTCTTGTTGAACTGAATTGAATCACTTAGTGGCAGATATAGTGGCGGGCCTGAAGTCAGGAAGACCTATCTTCCTGATTTCAAATCCAGCCTCAGACACTTACTAGCTATGTGACCGTGGGCAAGTCACTTCATCCTGTTTGCCTCAGTTTCCTCTTCTATAAAATGTGCTGGAAAAGGAAATGGTAAACTGCTCCAGTATCTTTGTCAAGAAAACCCCAAATGGGGTCATGAAGAGTTGGAAACGACTGAAATGACCAAACAGCAACAAAATAAAGTACTAGTTTGCTGGCACTTCTAGATAAAGCCTCCCAGGCCCTTAGATATTCTCCATTTTTCCCTGCTGGTCCCACTGCATCCTAAACTCTAGACAAAAGGAAAGAATATAGGATTACAGATTTAAAATGATAAGGCATGCCTCCAATAGTGAAACCTTCAGTGTTCTGGACAGTAAAAAGCCTTTCAAATCTAACCACATATATTCCATGGGTCTGGGAAAAATCAGCCTGGGATTCCAAACATCTCTTGCTGATTATCCTTAGAAACAATTCTGTGATTCTGTTACCTGTGTGGTAACAGTAAAGAGAG